TTTTTATTTTGGATATACTGTATTCTTATTTTTAGTTATACAATGTTTTTTTGACAAAAAATGTTTTTCATGCAATATAGTTTATTTAAATAAAATTATAGATAATGTACATATAGTATCATTTTACACTGGTCAACAAAAAAATACTTTTTGAATGCACCATGAATCTAAATAGCTTTTTCTAAACCGGTTTTTTGCGCTGATTTCAAATCTGCTTTCAGTTTTCTTCCAGCACGTCTAGTTCTTAAGATATTTGGAATTTTAATTTTCGGACATTCTGTACTTTAAAGTACAGAATGTCCGAAAATAAAAATTTCAAACGTATAGGGATATTTATCTATTATTTATTTAGGGATATGTATAGGGATAATTATCCCTATACATAAACATTGATAAACATTCGATATTTCAAGCACCACTTATGTTTCTATACAAATAAGTCAAAGTCTCTGTGACTAGGTTTATTCGTAAAATTTATACACATTTAATAGTTTAAAGACTATTGACTAAAGCATATAAATCACTTAAAATCTGTGAATATGAATTCCTTTTGTAGACTTTTTCTGGTTCATCACGATAAAGCATCCAACAGTAGTCAGCTAACATGCTATCATTCCAGAATACTTGGTAACGCTTTTCCATCACTTGAATATCTTGGTGGAATTGTTCACCTTGTTCATCACTCATTGCGCCCAAATTTTCAGGAAAAAATCCCAAATGCGAATGCAGAAAATGCATTTTCAATGACATACGACAGCCCACTTTATGGAACAAATTGAGTAGATTTTGAATACAATTTTCATATTCACACAATTTGTTATTCCCCAAGAAGTTCTTACAAACCCATACAAACGCTTTCCACGCTTCTTTTTTGTCTGAAGTAAGTGACTCTTCAAATCCATGGTCCTTCAAAACCTCTCGAATTTGGGGTCCGACAAAAACGCCTTCTTTGAGTTTCGCTGCACTAATTTTGGGAAATTTTTCAACCAAGTATTGAAAACCCGCTGATTCAGTTTTACCTAATGCTTTTACAAAGTTTTTCATTAAACCAAGCTTGATGTGAAGCGGTGGCAAAAATATTTTGTCTGGATCAACCAGCGAAATATGGTGAACGCTGCTTACACCGGGTTCGTATTTAGTTCTCAACATCCAATCACGTTTTACGTAATGTTCGTTCACAGCACAACTATCCTATAAACAAAGAAAGCAGCAGAAATTGGTAAACCCTGTTTGCATACCCATTAACATACCAATCACTTTCAAATCACCACAAATGTTCCATTGAGGAGTTTTGTAATCAATAGCGCCTAGTAATATATTCATATTTTCGTGGGTTTCATTCAAGTGTACGGAATGAGCGATTGGGATACATGGCTTCTGATTGCCAATATGCAACAACATGGCCTTCAAACTCCTCTTGGATGAATCAATGAAGAGGCGCCAATCACAAGGCGAATGCACTTGGGAAATTTTTTCGAAAAGATTATTGACATTATTGCAGTAGCACAAGGGTCCATCAATGGTGAAAAACCTAGATAAATCTTTGTTGTGCTTTCGAAAGTGGGATACTTTGACACCAATTACTAAAAAATTCTTTTCTTTCAGTCTTAAAGCCAAAAGTTCAACTTTTTCCTTGGAAAAGGACAAGTCTCTAACCAAATCATTCAGTTCACCTTGTGTGAAAACTTTGGGCTCTTTGCCATCAATATCTGGATCAAAATCAACATCAACCGCATCTTGACGTTCAACATCAACAACACATTCGTCTTCAATAGAGTTTGATCCAACAGCTGGTGGTACTGGAATGAGCAGAGTGCTGTCATGAGGAACAGACCTCATGGCCGAATCCAAATTCGGGTACACAATTTGGTGCTTATTTTTTGACAAAAATCCAGCAGTATCAACAGCGCAAAATTAGCAGTCATTGTAATAATCTTTTGGTTCCATCCAAATTATCGATATAGCAAATCGAAAAGAAGATCATCGTTTGTTGAACCAATTGAAACAACTATAAAAAGCCACATGTGCTGCCTTCTGGTGAATTTTTGTAATTTCTCGGCATTGTATAAGTTAATTTTATTGAAATAAATACCCTGAAAATAAAGAAATATTAGTATATTTCACACTGAAACCAAATATTAGTGCAAAAAAATACACATACATTATCTCAAGATTCAGATGTGCTGGAGAAATACTAAACACAGATTTGGAATCAGCGTGGAAAACTACATCTAGTAAGCCTAAAATTAAAGCTGGTGCAAATTCATTGTTGACCAGTGTTATCAAAGCACCTTTTAAACTGATTTTATTAAGCTTAGAATTGAAAAGCTTTATAAAATATTATCTAACTATAACTCTTTTTACAAAATGTTTTACGTTTTGCTTATTTTCTCAGATTGCTTTTTTTATGATTTGAATAGAATTTGGAAATGTGGTAACTCTGGTTCTTTTATACCTTTTGAGCTAATATTTTCACACAACACACATTATAGATAGTTTCATGCAATAAACCAAAAGTTGGATTCAAATATTTTGTATAGTCTATGATTAGCTTGTCTAAAGTTCATTTTTATATTAAAAATAGAGAAAAATATTGTTAAATTTTGAAAAACTCTAACAGACCTCCTCCCTGAAATAATATTTCCGAAATAATATTTTTTTTGTTTATTGCATGCTTCTAGTGTAAATAA